AAAATGCAAAGAAATCTCCAAATAACCTGCAACAGAACCAACTGTCCTTTGGAAGCTTGCTTTTATAGGCAGAACTTTAATAGGTGCTATAGAAAGTCAAAAAGTTTTTAAGAGACTGTGTATATTTGTATCTGGTTCTTCAGATACTCCTGGATATTAGCAGGAGTGGAAAGGTGAAACAGAGGACTGAATGAAAAGAAGAAAATTTAGAAAGCAAGGCTTCAAAGAAATTCTGAGAAACATCTTTGTGCAAGGCTAAATTTATTAATCTCCTTTCTGACCCATACGATGTCTGCATTAACTGGAGAAGCTGTGAAACTCAAGCTAAAAGGAGATGAGATAAACACGAAGTGACAACACTGAAACATACCAAGGGCCTTCAAGGTGTTTTCTCAGCCCGCAGTAAAAGCTGAGTTTAATCCCTTCACTCAAAGGCAGGCCAGAACTCAGGGGTAACGTACATCTCATTCAGCACCTCAAAATGGTGCCAGGGTAGAGAAGGAAACTCTTACCAGTTACTTCTGAAATGTTAATTTACACTCTCTGGTTTGGCAGCCAACGATTCCCTTCTCTCTGGCTGTCTCCAGACTACACTGTTAATGCTGCTGCCTCCATGTCTACTACAAATACAGAAGGACTCAGGTAGGCTTCTTTTTCTGGTGAATTATTAACATCCCCAATTTTAATGAAATTCCTGAGTTATTGATTTATACACCTCTGAAGATGTTTGTTTTTCACACTGCATGACTCCTGGAGCAAGCATGGCTGTATGCTAGAGAGCAGCCAAGCAAGCACAGGCCAAACTACCATCACCCACTCATGATCCTATGGAAGAAGGATTTGAGATTACAGTGATGTAAAGAGGCTGAGGATACCCGAATGGCTGTTCCTGTTGTGCACAGATCCTGATTCCCTCAGACTGTGGTACTGAGGTGTGGCATGTTGAGACTTATCTCTTTGTAGTGGGAAATGTTTCAAATTTATAATCCATATAAACATATCATTAGGAGACAAAGCTCAATAAAGTCTTATTTTACAGTTACTTTTTCCATTTGGCCTCTTTTTTTTTTTTTTTTTTTTTTTTTTTAATTTACCATCTTGTAGCTGACACATAAATTTATTAAGTTGCAATAGAAAAATAAAGTCATTGAGTTTATGAGATACTCAGGTGTCCACAAGCAGATGAATGTAAGACTTTGGATGACTTATGAATCAAGAAGTGTTGGCTTCTGGCATTTGTGTTTTTGAAAATTTCCTGCAGTTTTTAAAGTTGGACATAAAATAGTGTTGCAAATTATCCTCTCAGACTATTCAACTAGCAATACAGTTCCCTGATAAACTGGGCTTAGATGTAAATAGCTGTGTCTGAATAGCTGAATTTTGTATTTCTTATGAAGTAATATTTTCAGGTAATGGATCTAAAGTACTATCATTATTAGTTCGGGAGCATTATATTCCTTTTCTATTTGTGTAACTTGTTTCCCTTTTGTAGTAGATTCGCATTTGTGTAAGTGGTTCTGCGGGGTGATATAGAATGAAGTGTTAAGGGAAATTCTCAGTGCTTGCAACAAAGAATTGGCTGGAGGCTTACACCAGCACATCCGAAAGCAGATAGCTCTCCACGTTATGCAATTACTTCTCTCGAGTCGCTCTTCTTTTAGGAGAGTTAAAATACAGGGGGCTAAAGTTGATGGTGTAGCCTATCTGCCACAATAGCAAACCTAAACCAGCATTTATCTCCTGCCTTATTCTCTTGATATTCTGCTTAGCACACTGTGGAGATCCCCGAACTCTAGCATTAACTACCAGCAGAAAGATTCTGTTTTTATTTGCAGAAGTCTTTTTATGCATTTGTAACTCCACCAATTTCAGTTATTTCTCCAAATTAGTTCTGGTGCAGAGGGAAGTGGAATTTCATCTACTACTATTTAAGTGAGGCTTAATAATTATTTTTTTAATCAAATTCATTATCTTGAATAATTATAGAAATGGGCACTAAACCAAAAAAAACTCAAAATATCACAGATCTCCATTTTATGTATCACTTTCCATTAATTCTACATGGAACTGCAGTATTTGGTAAAGCATTAGTCGGTGTCATGCAGTCCTAATTCTGAATGCAACACTTGCATCATGACAAACATGTTACTGAGAAAATCTTTCCTATGTACCCTAAAACATGAGCCAAGCAAACAAGCAAAATCACTAAAGATTCTTGATAGCATTACTGGTAAAAACAGTCTCAGGAATCAGAACTGTCACTTAAATGATAAATATGAGAAAAAAATGTGGACAGATAATTCACTCAGCTAAGTGGTAACAGCAGTATGTTGAAGAAAAAGTAAGGCAAAAGCAAGAATTTCAGCATGTATTCATGGGTATCCATGTTGCCATGGCAACTTCTCAATGGAATGAAGTATTTTCTCCTTTCTTTAGGGATTTAAAAAAAAAGAGAAATGCTCGTCTCCAAATAGGCACTTTACCTCTTTTTTTTTTTTTTTTAAATAAATCTATATCCATTTCCTAAGATAGCAGGCATTGTTTTGTATTGGTTTGGAAAGGGACTTAAAATTGTAAAAGGGAGACCATATTATAGATTTGTTATTTAAAAGGTTTCTCTTGCCCTCTTTTTATTTTGAATGCTTATTAAAAGCCTAAATTCCTTTACATTTCTGGGGCCTACTTTTTTTATTCTCTTGTTGTTTAGCTGCAGAGCTCGGATAATCAGCATATTCTGCAGCAGATCTGTGGCTGTTTTCTGGTTCAAGCTAAGGCTATTTTTGTTCCCTTTTGATTTTCTGGAGTGAGTTTCTGATCCCTTACTTTGTGCTACTTGAAGGCACTGTATTGACTGTTATTTCATCATATGCAATTGTATAAATTTGGTTTCAAGACTAATAAAGAAATACCAGTTTATGTTCTATCTTCACCCCAAACTCACTGACTTAAAATGCAGATCTGCTCAGTCTCTCATTCTTTCTCTAGATAAGACACCAGTGATATACATAGCTAGCAGATGTTAAAGGGAACTAATACCCTTTGAAGGTAAAGTTATTACAGTCCTATTCTGGAAATTTTTATAAAAGAGTGACACTTCCAGAAGTGGCTGAAAAATAGAAGTGATAAGCATCCATTTTCTGAAATTACTTGGAAAACTTCACCAAAGGACTTAGACACATATACTAACACTGTATGTGTTTTAAACATAGCACAATTTTTGTTGTTTTACTTATTAAAGTTATTAAAAAAATCTGTTAAAGCAACTTGTTGCATAAAAGATAGTCTTTATTTTCCATTGTGGGAAATGACTTTAAATGGGAAGTTATAAATCTAACTGTTTCTTAAACATATCCATTACTATTTGTAAAGTTTCTGAGCACTTATTACCAGGATGGAAAAATTCTAAGAATCTGGATATAATTAATAGTACCTTTGAAAAAATGAGCTAAACGTAACTATCTGAGCCTTTTAGGTCTCCTAGAAAATTCTGCCAGTAACTTTCTGATTCCTTTATGTTACCTGCCTCCTCCTACCTTGGTTACCTCATCCAATATATTGTATTGATAGCTCCACTTGACATATGTAACCAGTGCTATTCTAGTTTAATTTAGTCCATTTTAACATTTGTACCATTTTCACATAACTCTTTTTTCGGCTCAGTGTAGAACAGTTTCAGATCCACTTCAATCTGGTAATTCAGTCTGGTAATTCAGTCTAATTAAGTTAGTAGAGTTCATCCAGATTCATACTGTTAGAAATGACCAGAATCTTAGAAAATGGGATGAAAATACATGCTTGTAGCTATATCTGTTTTATACCTATGCCTATATTGATGAATTAAATGTGGCCAGGAAGTTTTCTGGGCACTGAGGCATGAACTATATATACACAGCCTATAATTTTCAGAGGACAAAAATGAAGACCAAATACAGCATAAACAACCCAGTTAGTTGCTGTTTTGTAACAACAGAATATCAGAGAGAGGCTGGAGCTTGTATCTTTTTCACTTTCCATTAAATCAGTAAAACTGCCCAACCTTCATTTGTGCTGTTGCTACAGAAATAAATAGAACAAAGACAGATTTACACCAACGTAATCATAGACTTCAGCGCCAGAAGGGATTGTTGCTATTGTCATGATGGAGTGTGTCTATGGAAGCAAATAGACCTTTGTCACTGTATTTTAGGCAATGTGCTAGTAATGAAGAAGAGACAAAAGAATGTCCAGAAGCTATCAGCATTATAACAGCATGGTATAGTTCAGCTGCATGAGAACTTATCACCTATGCAAATAGGTAAATTTAACTTGATTAAATTTGCCGTGCTTTTGAGTGTCAGGAATAGCAATTGAGTTTGCTTCTTAGTTCCTCTGAGCAACACAGATTACTTCTTATATGTCTTTTGAACTGCTGATGTGAACTACGCAGCTGGTTCTTTCACATTCTAAAGATATATGTTGTTTGTTTTGTTTTTAATTTGAAAACAAACAAGCTTAATTGGATAGTTTTTAACTCTTGGGTGGAAAAAGGCACTGGGAGATGGGTAGAGGCTCTGAAAACTCTTTGCTTCTATCTCCATTATACAGTCACCAAATGTCTTGCAATGGTTGTGTGCTAGTAATCTGTATACATAAATCCCGTTTTTTCTCACTTGACTGCTTCAGCAGACCCAGTCTTGTTTATCCTGTTAAAGGCTATGTCTGAGCATGAAGACATAACTTTCCTCCTTCCGCTATAACTTCAGGTTCTTAATTAAGCAGCCTAAATCCCACAGTAAGAGAGAGAAGAGACAAAGAGACAATTAACAGCTCTAAATGAAGATTAGGTCCACATGAAATCTGATTTGCTCTCTGGTAGTGCTTACTTTCTCTCCAGGAACATCTAAGGAACAGAGCATGGCTAATTTCCCAGCTTGTGCACTTCACTTAAATGCCTAAAGTCAGGTAAGATAACTCTGCCACAATCCGCCTTTCCTTTCCCCTTCCCCTTGCACTGTCCTTACCTGCCATGAGGAGAAAAATGATGCTGGACTGAGTAAATTAGGGTTGGTGGGATGTCTGCCACCCATGTATTCATCAGTGCAAACCACACAATATTCTGCGTCTCTCCAGTCCCAGTAGGGGATGGTGAAGTTCTCATCACCTGTAATCTTCTGGATCTCACGTTCCCACATCAGCAGAAAGGCCCGGTGCCAAGGCAGAAAACCGGGCGCCTCGTGGGCAAAATCAATGTCCCGCCACACATTGGACCCTCCTAAGAGTGTGTCTCGAGAGGCATAATAATGCATCCACACAAAGAGATCATATACGTTGATGCTTCTGAACATGGGGTTGGAGCCATTGTTCATCTGAGTATACGTGCCAGTAGCAATAACATAGTCCCGGTTAGGGGTGTTCTTTGCCAAGTTAAGGTAGGCAAGAAACCTGTCCTTCTCACTGGTAGTGAGCTGGAAGATGTTTCTTCTTGTTCTCAGCTGCCTTTTGGTGCAATTGGGTCCTGAGAAACCAAACTTGCATTCCCCACAGTTGAATCCCATGAAGTTGCCTTCACATTTACACGTCCGGTTGTAAAACACAGAGGGCCAGTCCTCCCTGTCATCCACTCCTGAGAAAGGGAACTGTGGCCCCAGTGGAGCCTGAGAGAGAAGGATGTTCTGGCAGGACCCTCTGCTGGAACGCTCCCCACAAGGGGAACCGTCTCCATCCCAGGGGGGACAGCACTCCTTCCTCAGCAAGCTCTGCCTGTTCGCACAGGCTCTGGGGAACTGCCCGGTAGACGGCTGAAGGATGACTAGCAGAAAGCCCATGGTGAACAACGACATCCTCACAGAGCAGCAGGAGAGCACAGGCGTTACACTTCACTGCACGGAGTGCTCTCTCTGACCCCTTCAAAATCCTGGGTGTGAAAGAAATTCCTCCCCTCCACCAGGAATGCTTCACTGCTGGCTTCTACTACAGTGCACCCTCCAATGTCCTTCCCCATTCCTACCATCGATGCATTTACACACAGAATACACTTTAGTGTTAATCTGATTATCACATGTTCTGGGTGAAAGCCAAGTGACTTTTTTTCCCCACCTCCTACAGATTTCCAAATACAAGCACTTATTATAAACTTCCATCTTCTGCCTAGCACATGATTGCTTTCCTCTGGCAATTGGAGAGGAAGTGAAATTAAAATTTGGACACAGAAACAATTGTTGGCTCTTCAAATTCCTTGTTTGATTATATGCTTTAGAGTAAATGGTTGTTTAAAAAAAAAGACCCAGAAGAATCTAATCAGAAGTTAAATAAGCACAATGAACCTAAAAATGAGAAAATAAACAATTTTGGGTAAGCTATCTATTTTTTAAGAGGAAGAAAACATAAAATATGGTCAGATTAAAAGTGAACATAGGGCAGAACAAATAGTTTGGCTTGGCATTTTTATATTTCAGTGTAAACTGCCTTTCCCAGGCCAGCAAAGGGCAAAGTAAACTCACAAGGGAAGTAATAAACTTGTCAGAAAAAAATAAAGTTTTGTTCCTCTAGAATCCGTAGCACTTTAACAGTTAATGACATGCTGAAATTTGCACCCAAATCTTCTCCATACTTATGCGGCGAATACAGGCAATCTGCCAGGAGATGTGCAAAAAGCACTTCAAGCAGCTGTCCCTGGGCCTGGAAAACAAACCTCAACTCCTGTTTTTCTCCTGTCAAGAAGTCTGCAAATGCATCATCTGTGTTCTTTATTCAGTGTTACTGGGCAGCCTCCAGACCACTCACTTCTTTCCTCTTACACATTAGCCTGATCAGAGGTAACAGAGACACATGGGTGGCATTGGAAGTTCTGCATTATTTGAAGCTGCCCCTTGAAGAAAAGGGACAACAGTTGTTTTACTGCTGGGCAGAATGTACATGAAATAACCACAGCTTTCTTCAGCTGCTACTGTTATTAGTAGGAGTGGTGGGGTTTTTGTTTTATCATTTAACTAGAAGCATTATGAATTATTTCCTTATGTCTAGGGAGAATCTAAGCAAGGTGGGAACGACGTATAGATAAAAGAAATGAGAATTTTGCTGAGAAACGATGCCTTTTGCTAGGATCAGCAGGTCATCACATGACTGTGCTGAGGAGCACGAGGTGCTTTAATCCTGTTGGCTTCTACGCCTCAGGTATTCCAGGAGATTATCCCTGGAGTCCCGCTGCCAGGCAGCCTGTAGTGGGGGAGCTTGGAGCAAGAAGGAGCTGGTAAAGGAGTTACTTTTTCAAAAAATATTTCTAACCACAGGCTGATGTTTACTGTTGATTGTCTGATTCTTCTGTTTTCCATGATAAGTTCATAAAACAAGTTTCAATACAGGAATGTTACTTGTTTGACTTATTCTGTTTTCTCTGTGCCTGGCTGTTTGGCAAACCTTTGGAATTTATTTTGGTCACTGTTCCTTCCATGGAGACTACTTCAAAACTACTCTAGGTGAGAAGAGAGCTATCTCTGAGGATAACAATATATATTTTTTTTTTAATTTTCACTGTAGAGCTACAGGGATTGGGAAAGGCTTGAGGCAGAGTCTTAGAATGAACAAGAAAAACCCTCAAATATATATTTAGGCAGACAGTCATACACAAAAACATTCAATACCTTATTTTTATATTCAAATGAGATTTTATGTTCAGTGTTAAAAAATAAGAACTTAAGCCTCGACAGTTGTCGTATGACAAGTTTCTGAAGCAGTTGGTTAATAAAGGAATCTCCTGTGAAATGGTATGAATGAGGAATATGACTGAGGAGCAGCACACACCCTTCTTCACCCACTATTGAGCGGAGTCCTGTTTTGAATAATTGTCAGTGGTACAGACAGTAGTTAGGAAATCAGACTTTCCATGTATCAACAGCCATAAACATTAAATAAGCAAGAAAATGTGCATTCCTGTTCCCATGCATGACTGTAGAGTCACCAAAACATGAGATAGTCACACCACACATGCTGCATCCGAACAAAATTATCTTCATTTAAAAGACCTCATGGTACTTTCCATCTCTCCTGCTTCCACCTAGAGCTCTTTACTTCATGGTTCATCTAACAGAGCCATCATATCTGTGTGAAGTGTGTGCGTAAGTTGAATTTAGTCTTTTTGACTGAGAACTCTTTCCTTTGTGTTCTGCCAGTGAGATGACATCATCTTGCTGTATGTTCTGAGAGACCTGTTTCTCACCCCTCTATATCCATGTTTGAATGTGGGTCAAGATTTATTTATTTAAGGTACATAAATGCTAGGTGGACCATAAGATCAGCATGGCTCAGGCACAGTACTTTCTGTATCCAAGAACAAGGAAGACAGGAGTTGGATGGCCATTCATATCCAACTTTAATTGATTCCAAAGCATAACTCATAGATGAATCATAGAATAATAGAATAGTTTGAGTTGGTAGGGACCTTTAAAGGTCACTTAATCCAATCCTCCTGTAACAAGCAGAGATGTCTTCTACCAGATCAGGTTGCTCAGGGCCCAAACCAACCTGACCTTGAATGTTTCCAGGTATGGAGCTTCTACCACCTCTCTGGGCAACCTGTGCCAGTTTTTCACTGTCCTCAGTGTAAAATATTTCTTCTTTATATCTAGTCTAAATCTCCCTCTTTTAATTTAAAACCATCACCCCTTGTCCTATTGTAACAGGCCCTACTAGAAACATTGTCTTCATTAGGCCCCCACAATAAGGTCTCCCTGGAGCCTTTTCCAGCTGAACAACCCCAGTTCCCTCAGCCTTTCTTCACAGGAGAGGTGTTTCAGCCCTCTGAACAGTTTTGTGACCCTTCTCTGGACCTTCTCCAAGTCCATGTGCTTCTTATGCTGGGGGCCCAAGACTCAGACACAGTACTCCAGGTGAGGTCTCACCAGAGTAGAGCAAAGAGGCAGAATCACCTCCCTCAACCTGCTGGCTGTGCTTCTTTTGACACAGTTGATAGGGTTAGCTTTCTGGGTTGTGAGCATGTGTTGTCAGCTCATGTCCAGCTTTTCATCCACCAGTACCCCCATGTCCTTATCCACAAGGCTACTCTCAACCACATCATCCCGCAGCCTGTGTCTTGCACTTGACCTTGTTGAACACTATGAGGTTCACATGGGCCCAAATCTCCAGCTTGTCTTGGTCCCTCTGGATGACATCCTGTCCCTCAGGTGTGTCAACTGCACCACTCAGCTTGGTGTCATCTGCAACCTTGCTGAGGGTGTGCTCACTCAATCCCACTGTCTGTGTAATAGATGACAGTACTACAGAACACTGGTCCCAGTATGGACCCCTGACAAACACCACTTGTCACTGATCTCATCTGGACATTGAGTAGTTGACTACCACCCTTTGGATACAACCATCCAAACAATTCCTCATGCACTGAACCCATCAAATCCATATCTCCCTAATCTAGAGAGAAAGAAATGGTGGGGGACCATGTCAAAAGCCTTACAGAAGTCCAGACAGACAACACTGTAGCTCTTCCCTTGTCCACTGATGTAGTCACTGTGTCACAGAAAGCCATGACATTGTTCAGGCAGGACTTTCTCTTGGTGAAGCCAAACTGGCTGTCTCCAATCACCTCCCTTTTCTCCATGTACCTTAGCATAGATAATAGGAGGACCTGTTCCACAATCTTTCCAGGCACAGAGGTGAGGCTGACAGGTCAGTAGTTCCTGGGGTCCTCCTTTTTACCCTTTTTAAAACTGAGTGTAGTGTTTTCCTTTTTCCAGTCACCAGGGACTTCACCTGACTGCCAGGACTTTTTAAATGTCATGGGGAGTGGCTTGACAACGACATCAGCCAACACCCTCAGGACTCTGCAAATCATATCAACAGGTCCCATAGACCTACGTATGTTCAGGTTCCTCAGGTGGTCATTAATCTGTTCTTCTCTTAAAGTTGGAGGGACTTTGCCCACCTGGTCCCTGTCTTGCAGTCCATTGACTTGGAAGGTGTGAGAAGGGAGGTTACTAGAGATGACTTAGGTAAAAAAGTTGTTTTCTCAGCTTTCTCCTTGTCTGTGGTTACCAGATTGCCAGTCTTGCTCTACAGGTGGGAACACACTTTCTTTTTACAGAAACCTTTTCTGGTTGACATACCTGTAGAAACATTTGTTATTCCTCGTCAAATTCAGCTCCATCCACATCTTTGGCCTTCCTGACCCCATGCCTACGCAACCAGGCAGTATCCCTGTAGTCTTCCCAGATACCTGTCCCTGCTTCTACTGCCTGTGAAGTTTCTTTTTGCCCTTTAGTTTAATCAGCAGGTCTCGACTGAGCCATGCCAGTGTCTCGCCTTCCTTGCCTGATGTTTTACACCTGGGGATCAAGAGATCTTGTTCTCTACGGTAACCACCCTTAAAGGTCTGCCAACTCTGTTCTGCTCCCTCGTCTCTGAGGGCCATTTCCAAGGGGGCCCTCCTGACTAACTCCTTGAAGAACTGGAAGTTTGCTTGCCTAAAATTCAGGGTCCTGACTTTACTACTCACCTGGCCTATACCCCTCAGGACTGTGAACTCCACTAACGTGTGATGCCAGTGCATGATCACTGCAGCCTAGGCTGCCTCTGATCTTGATGCTATCAGTTAGCTCATGTGTTGATGTCTCTCAGCTGCAATATCTCATCCCATCTGCGGCTGTCTATGACCTACCTTAAGAATTTAACCTCTTTGCATTCTGTGAGTCTCTTGGATTGCCTGCAGCTCTCTATACTACTCCTTCAGCGGATGTTGTAGTGTTTGAAGTCCTCCAGCAGGATGAGAGTCTGTGAGTGCAAAGCCTCTGGTAGCTGAAGTAAGAAGAATTAATAAACAGTCCCTCCCTTTGATAGAGTAGCCTG